CTGTAAATTTTGATACGGATAAATACTTTTATTTTTGTAGGTACCAATATGCGTAGTGGGGATAAGTTGTAGATTAGACGTCATGGAGTTGCTGGAGAAGAGAGTGAAGTCGAGATTCTCGCATCGCCAAATATTTTTATTTCCCGGCGATACGTCATCTTCGGAACAGCCTATGTCCGCGTTTGACGATCGCCTGGAACTGTTTCGAGACCTTCTCAGCTTACCTGACGATGAGAATGTAAATAAAGTGGAGCAACAGTACGATGATTGTACGATAGATCCGCAATTTGGTTCTATGTGGAACGACTATATTAAGAGTTTAACTACCAATGTTACGATGGTGAATTTACTCAAGAGAATGTATCAAATTGATGTGAGCGAGAGGAGCTTTAGAAATTTTCTGGCGGTAGCCGTCTCGACGTTATCTGAGAAACATCAGAAATTGGAAGTGAATGATTTTGTAGAAGCAAGTAAAATCTTTTCGCAGGATGACAAATTGTTGATACTCGAAGGACTGTCCATTTTAGAAATGTGTTTGGTATGTTTTTTGCGATTATTTCCTAAAATTAACTTTATTTGATAGCAAAAAATATTTATATTCCGATCACAGATAATAGCGATGAAACACGAGACGGAGATTTATGACGGCGAGCCATTGAATTTCGAGACGATATACAATCGCTATATGAAGTTTGCGAATCAGAATTCCTCCGTACAGACTGTCCAGAAACCAGTTATCATGAAAGCTTTTGAACATATCAAGGTAAGAGACGCTTTCATATTAAAATTATTTGGTTATTGAAAAGAAAAGATGAATAAACATGTATATATTCTGTAGAATTTAGAGATCTTGCTGCCAGTTGGAAATACGAATACGAAATTCGAAAAAGAATATCAATATTATAAATTTACGTTAACATCGCAGCAAGTTATTGAGGCTGTGAAAAATTATTCTGGTCTTCCCACGGAAGTTTCTCAGTGGGCATCAAGCAGTATATAATAACGATATAGTTTCAAGTATTCAACCTATTGTGTTCCATAAAACACTACACATGACACATAATTAATACGTTTTTTTAGCGATATATTTATAGAATAAATTTAGATATAGATATTTATATCACTCTCTAATAGAAGGAATATACTTAGGAATAGGAATCGATAATAATCTTTTAGATACATTTTTATATGTTAAATATTATTTAGTTCATCTCTCTCTATACTCCTGATTAATAATCGCCATAAAACGAATTATTGTACGAAGACAATTACGAAGATACACGACGTTTCGCGTCTACATATTATGCCCTCCAAAAAACGTGTGATACTCTAGTCTTACATCTTTTGAATATTGCCGTTCATACGTATGTATATCCAGTTAAATTTTCTAAATTTAGTTTAGAAAATTTTTCGAAATATCAATAGAATAGAAAATCGGAATATCACAAAAATACAATAAAATTGTAAATATTCCTAATATGCATTAGTACAATATTTAAAAAGAAAAAAAGGAGGAATAATATTTTGTGAATATATATACTAAATATGGTTTCCAGGAACAGTTCCTGTCAATATACAAACGAAGTAAAGGTATACGTATCTTCGATATATGAAATATAATAAGGAAGATGCATAAATATTCATCGAAATATTTTATTTCTTATAATAACAAGTATTATCTTATCAAGTGTCACGAACGATTAGCTAATTTAGTCGATTGAAACCATATTTGTGCCACTGACTAAGCAGTGTTAAAATTCAGTTTATCTGTGATCCACTTATCATGTCCATTTATCTCAGTGTCGTGTGTGCGAGCGCGCATGTATGTCCGCGATCAATATTTATATGTGTGAATGAATAAAAATTTAGGTACTTATTAAGAAACGTGTGTCTGTCGCACAGACACATACATATTATTCGGACATATTAGAATGCAACGAAATTACATTGTGCACGTGTCTATGTTTATACATTTGTAATAAATTTACATCTCTGGTAAAGTATAAGTCTCATTGTGGATTCGTTTTTTTAATCTATCCAAGCAAATTGCGGTTTCGCTTCCGCGGTTATCGTAGAGTCCGCGATCGTCCTGATTTGGGAATTCCTCGCTACCAGCTTCTTTGGCAATTGAGGTTTCCCAGATTTTGAGAAATTCGCTAATTTCTTCTTTTGATGCTGAGTAATATATGAATCGTGACCTGCACGATCAAAAGCGCGCATTACTACACGTTTCGGCATAAATTTTAGATGTAATTCTCTTACCAGGATTCATGCCTACAGGGGGTACGTTCCTTAGTACTTCTTCCATAGTAAACGGTCGAAGCGCTGACATAGCACGACTCACACCTATCTGTAAATAAACACGTTTCGTCACATGTTGTAAGTAAAACAAACTGCATAAAAAATCAGAAAATTCGCACCTTTGAATGACGTATTCTATGCTCTACAAGATCTGCTCCGAGTACTTCTTCGTAAACTGCCATTCTAATCGGTATTATTTTATCTATTATCTACAGATAAGGATATTTACAGATACCATTTATATTTTACATACGATACATTTTTTAAAGAAACAAAATCACAAACCCATAGCAGTGTGATAGAGCTGAAGAAACTCCAAATTGATAAGCAAAGTGCAGATAAACATTGTACTCCTAAAAGGTACCAACCGCCTCCTATAAAAAAGAAGAAATTCATGCACTGTACATGACTTGGAATAAGAAAGATGCGTAAAAATCATTGTAGCATACCTTTGAACAAGCCCTTTCTTCCACTTGTGGTATCAAGGGGACGAGGATTATCAGCAAATAAACCGATGGCAATAACTCCCCAGATACCACTTGCGCCTATACTTGAAACGAATACGACTGTGTATTGTCGCGATGGAGAAAAACTTATAAAAATTTAATATATTAATGGAATTAACGTAAACGAACCGTGAGTGGCGGCTGCACCAACAGGATCATCTATGTGAATTCTGTCTAATGCTGGCATTGTGATACACGTGATAAAACCACCTACCATTCCGACTATCATCGCCTCCCAATTTCTATAGAGGAAACATCCACCTAACGTAACAAAAACACATGAAATCGGTTGTCTTTCTCACGTTTTTTACATTAATTAAACATATACCGGTAACTGCTACCAGTGCGCCAAGAACGCCGTTTATCTGACTAAGAATATCAATTCCATTCGGATTAGTCAAGCTGAATCCCAAACCGATGAGACCACCTCCCATACTGGCTATCATTGTGGAGACAGCCGCTCGAGCGGCGTACTGCCACCGATCACCGGTTACTCCGTAAGTACTACCACTGTTGAACGCTAACCAGCCCCACCTATTTACGGTTCACAGTCCTTTTTATATTCTACAATTTATTGCATTCGACATCGTGGTAATCTGCGATTGTTTTACCATAGCACGAACAGCCCCATAATAGCATTGACTGGGCATCCGAGCGGTAGAGGGTCGATGCCATTGTCGTATCTGCCTATTCTAGGACCAAGCATGATAGCGCAAGCGAGAGCTGTATTAACAGATAAATGCATCTATCGTAATCTATCCGTTTATCGTTGATTATCTGGCAATGATATCCTTGTAAATCTGATTACCTGAAACACCACCAACAAGATGCACCGGGCCTGAACCAGCAATATCAACGACCCCCATGCGGTTCAGAAAACCATGATCGCCCCACACCCACCCGGCTGGCATGCAGTACACGATAGTGTTTAAAAACGAGAAGAGGCAGTATGCCTTAAAGTTACATCTAGAAATGCAAAATGTATAATTGATTACGTCTTCGGTACCGTATTTGTAAAAATAAATACCGTTCTGCCATAGCACCACTAACGATGGTTGTAGAGGTGGTGGCGAAGCTCAATTGAAATAGAAATGCAGCGCAAATGGAACCCATGTATTCGTCATCGATGGGAGGATCCACGAGTATACCTCCGATACCGATTAGAGGGTTGTTGGGTTTATTTAAGCCAAAGCTAAATCCGAATCCAAAGATCCAATAAGTCAAGCCACCGAGAACTATATCGACTACATTCTTCATCATGATATTGACTTCATTTTTCAAAGATACACAGCCGGACTCTAACATACCGAAACCTACAGAGTTTGTAAGAGAATCAATATTCGCGCGCGTATTAATAAAAGTACAAAAATAAGGGTAGTAAATGGTTCATCTCTTAATCAGACAGATAGAATAAATTGATATTTCGGTAAGATTATTTTTAGTATTACCTGTTTGCATTGTAAAAATCATGAAGGAACTCGTGACGATCCAGTTGCTATCTTCTTGCGTAAGATTATACAATGAGCTAACATATCTATCAACAGTAACGTTTGTATAATTTTTCTCGGAATTCGCCAGTTCCATGATGTTCAAACTGTTACTTCGTCGCTAGAAAGAGTTAGACTGCTAATGTCTTCGCATGTATTGAGCGCGGAGTGTGCTCGGGACAAACAAATAAAAAATTTAGGATGTACGGCAAAACAAGTCTGGTATTGGTATTGATAGTAACGTCAGGACTTCTGTCAACAACCGATCAAGCAAAACTATTAAAAGAAGCTTAGAAGATTAGAAGAATCATTAAATGAGAAGAAAATATTTTAGAAGAATAGAGACAAAGCACTTAGATACATTTTCACGTTTTTAATTTTTTTTTATTGGTCTTACATTTTCGAGATTACAGAAAATTTTTCTCGCTCGCATATCCAACAATTTCTCTTCGTTCTTTTCATTAATTAAATAACGTCAAAATTATGTATAATACAACATTAATCTAATATATATTATTGAAAATGATATCACGTATATAATGCATTCCCGTCATCTATACCATACTCTGAATTTATGATACAGTACGATATAGCCGCTATTCTAAAAAAAAGAAAAAACCATTATGACTGTAATGTGCAGTGAAAAATATGTGTGAGAATGTTAACGGTGATGGCAATGCAGACTTTTTTTGGTTTTTTCTTATTCTTTTATGGGTGGCCAGGCTAGATATTACACGATCATATAATTTTGGACAAATTATTCTTATACAATACGGTGAACTAAGCCCTCTTAGGTAGCAGAATAAAAAGAATGAAATCGACAAGCATCTTTTCTTTATCATCCAAGGATATGATTGTGCAGATTTATGGAAGCGAATGTGCAGTATCAAGACAAAATTTCACACAAAGTATATCGATAGATGTAATTTTGTATGCTCGGTTTTCGAAAGCATCTATGAGGACTACATTGGTAGATGGTAGATTTTTGTTGTTGAATCTTGCTGTTTTGGCGATTTGTTCATCCTGCGGGGTTTAGTGACCGTATACATTTTCATCGCTATACGCTATGTATAGGAAGAAATCCTCTTCATGATGTTCCTGTTGAAGAGTTTTATACGATTAGACGAGCGATTATGAAACATAAAAATCAAAGCACCTCATTTGATATGTGCATTTCATAATAATATTCATTTCAATTACCGCATAAAGAGAACCCATGGTAGCGCTTGTTGGAGGAATGATGTTGTTTACAAAGAAGAACAGGGCATCTTCAGGACGTAAATGAATCCTCTTACGAATTAAAAAGTAAAATTGACCGACAGTCAAATCAGAAGGTACCAAATACTTTTGCTTGTCCAGATCACTAATCTTTGCTTTAGGTGCCTTCTCAACTATCACCTACAACAACATTTACATTATGTTTCTCAAATATCTTTTAAATATATAAAAATGTAATATTAGTTGATAACATTAGGAGGATATCTTAATTAGTCGCTGCAAACGCACGAAACAAATCCATCATCGTGTATCTCCATTGAAGTTGCTATTCATCTGGCAAATTAACATTTCAACTTTCGTTAACGAAACCATAAAAAAATAATTTTTTTGGGCTTGCTACAGTCAAGTTTCAATTATGTACTTAATGTCGTGAGACGGTTTAAATTGGTTGAAACGCATCCAACTGTTGAATAACGGATTCAGATTCAAGTCTCCTGTTGGACTGGCGAATGTAATTCGATACGATAATTTCGAGTAAAACGTGATGTGATCGATGATTCATGTACAGATAAACACTTTATTCTTTCTTTTGTGACGATCACGGTATTACGAATATGACCGTGAAAGTACTAAAAGGACAAATTCTGGAATGAATCAAATGTTTTAAACAATGGTTGATTAAAAAGAGATTAATCTGTCAGGAATTAATTATAATAACAACCATTAAGTTCAATCTATCTTTTTCTTTTTTTTTTCATTTGTGGAATATTTGATCTGTAACTCGTTTTTTTCACGATCGAAATATGCACATGTAATCTGTATCTATTCGCAGAAAGATCCTCCTAAAACCGTCCAATCCGAAATATATTTCGAAAGGGGCAAAAATATATTTTGAAATAATTAATTAAATACTTTAATAATTACTATTTAAAATTAATTAAATAAATAGCAAAATATATTCGATTTGTGAATGCTTGTCAATTTATTTATTTGTTAAAAATCAAGGGAAATTATACAATTTCCCTTAATAAATAAAACAATTAGACTATGAAAGTGGAGAAATCGCGGCAATTTATAATACTGGAAAAATCGACATTATTATTATTATACTGTCACAATTTCCAGGCTCAAGAATAAAAACAATGCTTTAACACAATGCTTAAGAAGAATGCTTAACAAGAATAACACGTATTTTACATATGTTTAACGTAACTCTAGGAACTTGGGTTTAACCTAGCAGTAAAATGTTGCAAATCATTTCCTGAATTATTAACGAGACAAATAATTTCGAGAATATTACGTGTCCAAAGTCTATTCGATGACCAAAACATTCGAGACCGAGAAAGCGATCTCGCGTCGCGAGCCTGACGTAAATAAATTCAAAAGATAAGTAACTCCAGGTGAAATTCGACGCGCTGAAAAACTTGGTCGATTGCACGTCGTGAAGCAGATCAATACACGTGCGGGGGAGGACGTACGCGAGGCGCAGCTCGATTTCGCTGCGTAATTGCGCAAAAAAGAAGGACGGAGGCCCTGTCGGAGAAGGAAGCGCCTCGTACGAAACGATATGCGACGCAAAATGCGAGGACGACCTTGGGCTTTACCGGGGGGGCCGTCGAGGGACGGCGCGACATTACGAAAGCAGCCGACGTGAACGGGGGGCTTCCCGCCTCTCCCCCGTTCACGTTTGCGAGAGAACGCTGCTTCCAGAAAGCGGAAGCACAACCATGCGGGATGCGTAAACCCGTAATCCCGGATCTACAATAAATATTTTAAGCCTTAAATCGTACGAAATTGTCACACAAGTTCGACGATCACAGTCGAATTCGAGGAGACAATGAGGAATCAACTATGATTCGTCTATTTCTTACGGCTTAAAATTCTATTGTAGATCCGGGATAAACCTCGAAGGACGCTTTGTACTTACGGGCACCCGATCGGGATATTTCCGTCGGATTTTCTCGCCCTCGGCCTTCCTCTTCTCGAACGGATGTTCCTCCTTGTACTGGAATTTCATTGTCTCTCGTCTGAGAGTCGCGCGACACGACGACGACGGCGACCTCGGCTCTCCTTCGTACCTTCACTTGGTTCCGTACTTTCTGTAGCTTGCCCTTTCGTTTACACGCGCGCGCACACTCTCCTCTCTCTCTCTCTCTTTAATTTGCTCTCCGTGACGGACCTCCCGGACGATAAATTGACACGAACGCGATTCTCGAGATTCTCGGTGACACTCTCGCAACAACAATCGCCGTGCGTCACGGCGATTGCGATTGCGCGTTTGGTAAGTTTGGTTACGAGTGCGCCACCTCCGCCGTGAGAAAATAGTTCCTCTTTTTCGTCGACGAGATGACGTCGCAAAAATCGATAATTCTTTTTGTAAAAATTGTTGAATCCACTCGAGAAACTTCGCGGATATAAAAGACGGGCAAGAGACAACAAATCCGGCGAAAGATAAAAAGAATGCAAATGACAGGATAAGTCTGTTCTTTTCGGCTGAATTTTTTTGCACCTTTCCCGCGCGCGTCTTTTCCTTTTCTCTCTAACGCGAAGAGAAAAAGGGGAAAGATGAGGTTTATTCGTGTTGCTTGGAATTCTCAGTTCGTGAATAGGTTGCTTGAAATCTCCAAACATTTTTTAACTTAAAATGAGATAGATATATATTTGGGTGTTGAAAAGAAAAAAAGCGAAGATGCTGAGTGCAAAAAATGCAAGCAACGCGAACAGACCTAATATGACTTGGGGCTTTCCAGCAAGGACACAGTCAGACACAAATGTCGTTCTATCTTTGTTACTTTCTGAATGTCAAGAAGGATAGAACGACGTTTGTGTTCTTTGAAAAAAATGTGGACAAATCGTTCTAACGTTAAAATTAACACGGTAAAAATGCCCAAAAATGTAAAAAACGAAAAAATTATTCACGATATCGTGTAGTTTCTCAGTGCAAATTAAAGAATAAAAGTGCTTTAATTATCTTATTATTTCATAAAGTATCAAATGCTTTAAATATTTAAGCGGAAAGCACAGACTCTTGCATGACGCATAAGGCACAAGAAATTCAACTAATCAGAGCTCTTTATTTCACGGAAACGAAGGAAACGAAGGACTTTGATTGGTACATTTTCTTACGTAGGAAGGTACCAATCATATCAAACACTCACCGAGCGCAGCCAATGCTTCTCTCGTCCGCCGCGGCGCGGCGCTTCGAGAGGCGATTTCGCGCCTCTTTCGATATTTCAAATTCGCGTCGCGTCGATCGGTTAGTGCGTCATCGCGGAAGATCGCGGAGTAGAAATCGTTCGAATCGCGTCCGCGCGTTTAATTGTCCACGATCGCGATCGATTTCCAGAAGCGGATTCCGCGTGCGGTCGAGACGTTGCCTCGCGAGTGTTTTTACCGAAACGCGCAAGATGTATAGCGTGATGTGCCATACCGCGCGTATCGAACGCCATAACGAAAGTGCCGTGCGCCATCATCGGTTTCGGAGTCGACGGGATTCAAGGGACATCCGCCATTCCGGATTTGAATTCTTCTTTCCGCAACGAACAACGTAGCTACCGTAGCTATCACGACCGTTGCCAGGTATGCGCATTACGTTCTGGAATTAACATTGTTAATATTTTCGCTGGAGTTTTCACTGGAGTCGAACTTGTCTTAAATTATAGCGAATTCGGGTCACTTGCACTACGCTAGATTAGTGCATACTAAATGTTGCTATATATATGAATAATATATTAAAGGCTTAATTCCGGTCGAAGCTAGATCTTTAATTGCTTTTTTAAATAATTCAAATTATGAATTATATGTATACTATATATTTGCATATACACCATATTTGTAGTCATATTCACTATACGCGCCGAAATTTTTCCGGACTTTACAAATTGCGGTTTACAAACTCGGTAGTCTAACTGGTAAGGACGCTCACACGGAACGTAAGAGATCCGGGTTCGACTTCCGGCCGAGGTAATATTTTTCGCAATAATTAAAAATTTATTTACAGATTCTATTAGATTAAGATCTCTACAATAGATGTTTATTGAACATCAAAATTTAATTTGTGATATTATTTCAGTAGTTTAGCTGCGTTTGTAAAGTCCGAAAAAATTTCGGCGAGTAATGAATATGACTACAAATATGGTATATATGTAAGTACATAGTATATATATATAGTATATATATATATATAATTCATAATTTGAATTATTTAAAGAAGCAATTAAAGATCTAGCTTCGACCGGCATTAAGCCTTTAATATATTATTAGTGGGTTCTGCACGTCGGTCCTATGAGATTTAAATTTGTATATACATGAAATTAGCAAAGTTAAATGTGAAAGTATATAAATATTTTTAACTAATGATATTATTATCACATTATTTAACGAATATATGTATATACAGTCAGAGCAACCTAAAAGGTTGCACTTTTTTTAAAATTTTGGAATTCAACCTACTCACCGAGCGATTGGTTCTTACTTGTCGATCCATGAATAAGAACCAATCGTTTTTTGAGCAAGCAGCATTCCAAAATCCATCGAAAAAAAATGTTGTAACCTATTTTAGGCCCCGACTATACATGTATCATTTTATTGTCAAAGTGGATTATATTGTATCACTGCATTGAGATACTTTATATAAAGCACTGATTTTTTTAATATGTACTAATCTGCTCAAATTCATCATTAGAGATCGCTTTTCGCGCGAAATTGCACGATTTGAAAAGTTCACTTGTACATTAACGCCCTCGACAGATAATGCGTCCAAATCGTGAAGCTGTTAATCAACCAGAGCTGATGATAACTTGATGCAAATCCTAAATACTTCGTACTATTTAGGACTTCAGGAGCACATTTTAACTGCATTAAAAGCGATATTGCAAATTCATATTTAAATATGTCTACCATTACATTACTTAAAGTCATACATTTTATTAAAATTTGTGAAAAGTAGTATAAACTTTTACTTTTGTACGAAATTCGTATATCTTGTTTTTGCAGTTTTATTTTGAAATATAAAATTAAAAATAGTTGTTATACAATCAAAACTAGTTATTTTGTATTCACATAAATAATCAAGAATATAGAATTTTAATGTTCTTTATTAAAAGAAATATATACAGATGCATCTGTAATTAAAAGAATAAAGAGAATCATTCCACATCTTCTTCATCATCGTCTTCTTGACTGTTAATCTGGAAGTATCGTAACTCGTACGTTTCCTTGTCTTTCGATACTACTCGCAACCAATCACGCAATTTGTTCTTCTTCAAGTATTTTTTTGTCAAGTACTTGAGATATCTATGGCAACAATGTTTTCCAAATTAGTGCAAATATCGTTCTTCCTGTAGCTTACAATAGTAAACTTAGTAATAGTACAAAATAGACCAGTATTCATAGTCAATTCTTATTTTAAAACTGTCTTAAGGGGATCCTAAAACCGTCTGTATTACCGACTAAATTGTAATGTTTGTGTAACAATTATTTTTTTCCTCTTTTATAGTTTCGAAAATCCTTTTCCAGTTAAAGTATACCTATTAAAAAATTTTTCTTAAGATATCAATTTCGAAATTTTTTGTCGTTTTCGGCATAAACTCTATCTCACAGACACACATTAATACATATACTTTAATTCTGGAAAAGAATTTTCAAATCTGAAAAGAGGAAAAAAGTAATTATACAAAAATTACGATTTAGTTGGTAATACGACTTTAGAATCCCCTTAAGATGTCATGAACCAACTAGAGGGACATATTAAGACATTATTTAAGACAGTATTAAGATAATAATGGACTATGAATACTGGCCTTAATATCTACATAAGGTTTTTTCCATTTGGTGAGACAAGATGACACAAATATTGTTTTGTCTTTGTTCCTTATTAAATGTCAAAATAAAATGATATTTGTGTCAACTTGTATCATTAGAATTACAGATATTCAGTCGTTCTTACGAGCTTTTTACAATAAGCCATTACCTAAGCTTGAAATCTTAGAGCCATAAGAAATTAACTAATTCTTCTCATATTCGACTGTAATTGATCAGTTTCTTATAGCTTAGAATTTAAAGCTTAAAATTTATCCATAGTGGATGCTATTTAAGTTGATTACAGAGATGTATTAGCATCTTAAGACATTATTTAAAATGGTTTTAAATTAAGGATAGATCAATACTGGTCTAAATAGAAAGCACCTATAGGCCAGTATTCATAGTCTTAAGATGCTAATTCAACTTTGTGATTGACTCATGACATTTTAAAACTGTCTTTAAGATGGCTTGTATGAACTGATTATAAATATCAGTTTTAACCATAGCCTATTCTTTTTAGCTGAACTTCTTGCACGGTTTATCTTTTTTCTTTTTCTCTCCAACGTAGAGAAAAAGAAAAAAGATGAACCGTGCAAGAACTTTAGCTAAAAAGAACAGACCTCATACGTTTTTTGATTGTTGTAACCACAGAAATACGATATTACTCACCGCTTCGAGAAGTCGACATCACTGTTAACAGTGAGTTTCATTTTGTTACGTTCCAAGGCAACATTGTTGCTGAAGTTATTAGTTTTACCACCAACCTTAATTTTTTCTTGTAAATATTTTTCCTAAAAAGAAAAAAATCACCATCTTATAATAATCAGTCTCAACGATATAGTATTAAAATTTCAGTAGATATCACACGATTCAAAAATAGATCAACATTAGATTTTTTCATTACATAGAGGTTAGGAATCTGCGAGGAATAGGTTAGGTCTGTATTTCACTTAAGATATCAAACGAGCAATTTCGAGCAAAATTCTCACAGATGGGAAAAGAAAGTATTAGGAATATAATCTAAAATAATTAAGAACAATAATGTAACTTACAAAATTGGTAACATCCATAATATTATCCTCTACAGGATGCGTGCAATCGATCGTGAACCTCAGGGACACTTTTTTCTTCTGTCCCTTGCCCCGAAGCACCTGCTTCTTAATTGGGCCTTTAGTTTTCTTTGCCGGCTAAAAATTTGTGAAAAAAATCTGTTTACTGACAATGTTGCCATTATTTTATGGGACACGTGGAAAATCGTCCAAGGCGGCGGGATAGGAGAGCGTACGATAGGATACGTATGAATCGGACTAGATTAAAACGATCTCAACATAAAACAATAAGCCAACGTGTCGCGATCGACAAGTCGGACGCGTTCTTTCTATATGTGATGTTATTTTCACGAAATTTTGCCGTAATTACGAATAATCGTCGTATTTTTGCGAGAATAACAACTTACCGGAGCCATGTTCACGTGTGTCCAACGAATGAAAGAACGCGAGAAAATTGTTCACTATATGGCGCTACAATCGTTTACGCGGGAGTATTTA